CTATAAAAATATGCAATGGAAAATGGGGTGTTCCATTTAAAAAAATTAATGTGGCCTTGACCTGACCTTCGCTACGCAAGGTCAAACTGATGTGATCAGTAAATACATCTTTTTAAACGCCACAACTTTTGTCTGAAACATTTTTTTGTAAAACTTATATTTTTCCTGATATTCGGGCGTCCCGGTACTTTCCGAACACCCTGTATACTTTCTTTTGGTTTTTGAGTATTTCATTATGTCATATGATAGAACTACCCCATCACAAAAGGATTATAATAAAATAGTATAAGGTGCATGAATTGAACTGGAACGATAGAGGAGCGTATAGCATAAAGAGAAAAGCGATCGTAAAGCGTGCGGCATATGTTTGAACCAACTCCGCTCCAAGATAGATCATGCCATAAAACCTGTTGCGTAGCAAGAGTCATAGATCGCTACGGGAGACGATCTTGGATTGCGAAGTCTGGTCGCGGAAGACAGTAGAACAATCCCGAGGGATTGTTGCTTTAGGACCAATCGGTAGTCTGCAAAGGAAAGAATCGTATTCGAGCCACGTATGCGCGAAGAGTCTGAGTTTAGACTCGCCAGCAAACGGTAGTAATAGTCAAAGTCAATTTCAAGCCGCGTTCCTCGGCCAAGACAGAGAAAGAAGTCTGTGTGGAAGGTCAATCCTAGGACAATCCTAGGACTGCAAGACGATATCAGATGTTAGAATAAGGCGGCCGAAGATCCCCGTCGCGAAAAATAAATGGTTTTACCATTAAAAAAATCATTGAAAATGAATGGCTTTTTCAATGGTATTTTCAATAGCAAACTGAATGAGTTTTCGTAATAGTAATATTTTAACACTGAGCGATTTTACAACTGGTCAGTGATTTTACCACTTACAAGTGATACCAAATATATAAAATATTATTAACATATGGGCATACACAAATACAAACACACGCACTTTCATACAACTTAATGCTTGGTTATTTTGTTAAATAATAAAAAAATGTAATTATGCATTTTAACGAAGCAACCTTCAATGACCTTGATCTTGACATATGTTATAGAGGGAACCTTCCTGAGTAACCCTCAAAAAGTTTTAATCGGCGCTCGTTGTTTCTTAAAAAATTATTAACAAAAGAAGTTGCATAAAATGAATTTAAATAATTAATAGCATTAATAGCAGAATAATTTTTGAGCACCGTATATACAAAAACAACGAATTTCAATGTTAGGAAGATGCTTGCTACACACACACACTGCTTGCTAGCAAGTGAAAAATATCGAAGGGGGACACAGCCCCCGTTTGTCGTTCAATATTTTTCTCGTTACAAATGTTAAAAATGTTAAAAATATTCTTAATTTAAATATTTTTATGGTAATTGTGAAGGAAAGGCCCACTCTCATCGATTTTGTTAAAATTTAGTAAGATAGTGTATTTTGACGCGTAAAAACTGAATCTGAAAGCTAAAAAGCTTTTGTGAGAAATTCACTTTTTAGCTTAAGTACAAGAGACCGCGATCCTCACCTCGCTGCGGTGCGGGGGCGAAGCCCCCCAGTCACACAATTAGAGATAGATGGGGTATGACAGATTTTCTAACTTAACGTGCCTTCAACTTTATCTATTAATATCTCGCTTCGCAGTAGAGAGCGACGATTTTGTCAGAGGAAAAAGTTGTTTCTCGTGCAAAAATAACTTACTCGGTCTCTTATACTTCTAGACACACACCACAATTTAATAACTCGTTTGCAAATTAATACACTTTTTAGATTTGTCCGTGGACACGGTATTGTTTCGAAACTCGTGCGTATGGGTCTCCTCGATCTTGGTATACTGCTTATCTAAGTTGCGATTTTTATTCTTAAGTTCACTTTTGTAAACAGTTCCTGCAGGAAAAGTCTAGCCTTCTTCTCTGTCTCTCGACAACTAAGCCTATTTTTTTAATCGAAATCGGAGGTGAGGTCACTAAACTGAATAATTACCAAATTCTATTGTTAATAATTTTTTAAGAAACAACGAATGCCGCCTAAAATTTTTTAGAGTTACTCAGGAGGGTGACCTCTATAACATATGTAAAAGTCAAGGTCATTGGAGATTGCTCCGTTAAAATGCATAATTACAAAAAAAAAAACAGGTACATCATATTTTGCGATGTTTTGCTTATATGTGTTTCTGCGTCCGGTTTCGAACTCGAAGTGCGCCAGTCACTCAGCTCATTTCCTAATCTTTATCTTAGTCTTCGTTACTATTGCTCAACCTTAGTGATCAGACAATTAGTAATGATTCTGACGTGAAATGGCTCTGACGAAATTTTCATAACTTGTGTTTATATAATGTATTTTCAAAACATTGTAATGATATATTTACTACAGATACTACTACAGATATTGAAAATTAAAACAGTTAATATGCGATGGATATTAATATAATGTATATTAGCGAAATAGTGACGCGATTATTGCTCTTATATTTTTAACTTAACATTATTGTGCATTTGAGAGTAAACGATAAGTTAGTTTAAAAATACATGCAATAATTTATGTATATATACAGGATGTCCCAGACCACCCTTATCACACTAAGTGAGAACGTAGAACGGATTGAGTCAATTTTGGTGTCAATTTGGCGCTGTGACCATTATTCCTTCGCGAGATTACGCGAGGAGAACGGATAAAACTTCGTCCCCGCGACGCGGCGACGGTCGACCTCACCGGCTGCTCATTCGATTGCTGTGGTAGAGTGGCGTGGTTCTTTACTAGCGAATCTTTGTCTATTACACACGTAAGAGAGAGATAGGAGAGGCGGTTGAGTAACGACTCTTATTCAAAATTCTCACTCAAATTCAAACAGTTAACAATAACATTTATTACAGTCGACGTAGCAATGACAAAATATTATACCACTAATCGAATGATATTCTTATTGATAGTATCCAACTAATATACCATTGATCGAATGATATTCCTACTGGAGTACATTCAATAGTAAAATATTTTACCACTAACCAAAGAATTTTTCTACTAACCGAAGGATTTTCCTTCAAGTAATAAAATCATTTGTTAATGACAACGCCGTTGGGTCCATATGATTTTATCATTAGTCCAAATGATTTTACTACTGATTTCAATGGTAATACCATTAACACTTTTCGCGACGAGTCTTGGAGACCATTATTTAGACGTCAAGAGACTGTGGTGAAGCCGGGAAATAGAGAAGAAGGCTAGACTTTCCCTGCAGGAACCGTTCACAAAAGTAAACTTAAGAATAAAAATCGCAACTTAGATAAGCATACCAAAATCGCGGAGACCCATACGCACGAGTTTCGAAACAGTACCGTGTCCACGGACAACCTAAAAAGTGTATTAATTTGAAAACGAGTTATTAAATTGTGGTGTGCGTCTAGAAGTATAAGAGACTGAGTAAGTTATTTCATACGTGCGAGACGCCCGAGTCTATTCGTAACAGGGGAAATATTTTATGAGTTAGCGAGACCCGTAGCAGTCTCATTGACTGAGCACCGCGGATCAAGGGAAAAAAAATCACAGAAGTACTTGGCGTCCAAATTTGAATATTTACAATCGTAACCCGTGGGGAGAAGCGACAACTCTCCGAACGGAATTTGTAGCGCAAACGAAGTTGTAGAGTCGAAAGCGAGATAAAACGTCAAAAAAATGTTTTGACGCTCAACATGAAGTCCGAGGAAACGCATCACAGAATATAAATCCTAATAATTGTTCCTTCGCTTCTGATGCTGTAATCTTTAACTATATAGTTCAAAATGTACAGAATTAATTTCATAGAAATTATAATGAATAGTAAATGTTAACATACCCCATAATGACATAAATATCGAAAAAAATACCGTCGACGGATTGTCGAACAAGTATGTAATTCTTGCATGTAAACACGTCTCTTTGAGATTCCAATATCCACAAAAGTGATCACATAATGGACACATTTCGATAGTACCATTTCCATTACAAATATCTTCGCTTGGTTCATTGGAATACAAAGTAGCACAACTGTATATGAAACATAAGAGACCGACGATACTCGCTGGAATTAACATGTGAGTATAAAATCCGAGCCATGCAAAATAAAGTCCAATTTTCACTCCAAAATACTCTTTAATATAATCCAATGGCTGGTAATAAAAACATTTTCTCAAACTGGCCCACTCAGTGTATAAAAGGTATCGCATAGAATCTGGAGTATGCAAGTTTCCCTGAAATATAAAATAGCATATTAAAATATATGTGACGCACATACATGTATAAGTTCCATTTTAAAATAAAATTTAAAATTTTTAAATTTACAATTTTTCGTACGAACCAAAACTATAAAGAGATACGAGATATTGTAACTGATATACAATTATTATGTGGTTTAAAGTGCTTTAAATTGCGTAATATATATTGCAAATAATGTTACTAACACAGAATTTGTACAACAGCTATTTAACATATTTATCGCCAAACATGTTTTAACATACTTCCTGTTTATGTCAATGGGTTATTTATATTATCAAATTCATTACATGACAGCCAGCAATAACTGACGAGACATAAGCGGAAAGTTCACAAATAAATCGCCGAAAAAGTTTCTAATCAATTATAATAGGCTTTAAATATGTTTAAAAGTCGTGAAAAATATTAAGCGCATATTTTTCTTAGTAAAAATCGTCAACAAGAAATCCAATCCAAATTACATTGATCTTGACGTATGTTGTAAAAGGGCACTCTTTTAAGTAATTCTCTAACAAGAAACTTGACAGAATTGTCCCTCATCGATTTTGATGCACTTTGGGTATGTTGCAGGATATAAAAAAATAAGAGATCTATATTTTTTTATATCGGCTTATCTCGAGATTTAGGGGCTAAAACAACCCCTTGAAGAAAATGAATTTTCTCATTTTTATGAAATAATTCCTAAGATATGAGATATATGAAAAAATGTTTCCTACAAAAGTTTTACAGTACTTAATACTCTGCAACGGCGTTCATTTTCTTTTAATATCAAATTTTTTACTTCCCCCCTATCCATTCGTTACTTTCGCAAAATTTTAAAATTTTTGTAAGGACAAAAATTGTAGAGCATTTAATACCAAATCCATCCATATATAATAGTAAAAGTTGATCTCGCTTTAATCGTTGGAAAATGTCGTAATAACATCGTGTTATAGGCGCCATACTGTCTAAATAGATGAATATTGTAAATAGCCCAGGCAGCAAGCCGTCGTAATTTTCACGTCAACATGTCGTCATTATTGGTCAGTAACGTCATTTGTCCTTTAAGGACGTGTATTTAACGTCATGTTTTAGACGTCAAAGTAACTTTGCAAAATGACGTTATGATAACGTTTAATTTACGATATTGTAGACGAATTTTTTTTTCGAATAAAAATATAAGTTCACTATTCTTATAGATATATTTTCATATAATAATCAATTTAAACAATAATGGGGGATAATCAATGATAAATCTTATCATGCTATCCTAGCAGCAAATATTAGTTGTCCAATGATTATAATCATAGCTATAGCTGTTTCATTAAATCAATATGTAATGTTAATCTCTACGATTTCGATGTGACAAAAAATAAATTTTTTGTTTGCTGCAAAAAAGAGTTTTTCTTTTTTGGGTGTTTTCGGAGAAACATTTGTGGTATTGGTCTGAAACCATGGGCGCATTCAGTAGAAAAAGCGCTCAGTGAGCAATCAACGATTATTGGTTCTTGCTATTAGATCCCTAAATCTAGACCAATTACATTGACAAATTACTCAACTGTTGTGCAACTGTTGAGTCTGCTGAATGCAGCCAATGATGTAAACTTCGCAGGCCATACTCTGAGGCTGCGTTTCGAAATTCACTGCCAGTACTGAAATTTTATAGTATACGTAACATAAACTGTAGACTTTCAGTATTGGCAGTGAATTTCGGAACGCAGCCTGAGCAACGAATGAAGGGTAGCGCACAAATTGAAAATCGACCGTATCCGTGAACGCTCGTAGCGTTCAGAAGTTGTATTTCCCGCTTTGATCTATCTAACGATAGATGCGGTCCGTTAAGTGTTGCTGATGCGCCACAGCGATGGCTAAACCAATCATATTACTACATTTCACGCTTCAAAGCATTTGCAATGTTGAAAGGACTCTAGCCCTAATATAACATCTCTGCGTCTCAGCGGCGTGCGAACACGTGCGAGCATTATACAGATATATAGTAATGATTATTAGTTTTACTGCTTCATTCGTGCACTGTGAGTATATACTGCATAATTTACAGTTACTACTGCATAATTTACAGTTACTACTGATTATAAGAGCTTTAGTGAGTCATATTAGTTGCTTTCCATTTACATCAAAACTCAGATAAATCTCACTTCTATCTTTGTTACTCACAGAATATGAAACAAAGATAGAAGTAAGATTTATCTGAGTTTTGATGTAAATGGAAAGCAACTATTATATTCATAGATTTGTACCATCAGAATATAACCTATATGCTATACTGGGATCTTTCATTTTACATGTAATATAATTTATAACATTATTATATGATAGAATCATATTTTGTTATTAATATTAATTGCATTAGATATAAAATCGGATATGTATACATTGATCCAGCTTGATGACATGTGTGAAGGAAGCTT